AATTTATCCTCATCATCTACATGATGTGATGGTTTGTCATCAGATACCTCATCTTTCCCTCTTTCCTTTGCTGGTTTTTGTTTCCTTTTTAGCATCAGTTTTCCGTCGACAAAATTTATATTGTCATCAACTTCAGCTTCCTCATCTAGCAATGCCTTCATATCAGGTAAAACAAAAATGTTCGTTCTATCTTTAGATTTGTCTTGCACAATTTTTTGTTGCCTTACTGCCCTGGTAACCTTGGTATCATTGTTGCCTTTCTTTTCATTAGAATGACCAAAATCTTTCCTGCTAGCATCTACCTTTTTCATAAATTCTTTAATTTTCGTAGAATTAACAACCCTGTCTAAAGCCTTTTCCTGAAGAACAAAATCCGCACGCGGGTCTTCGTTGTTGTCTTTGATGGCTTGATTATTATTAAGACCGTCTTCCCCATTTTTACTGGCAATTCTGCGAGCGATTTCATCGACTCCCACGTCTTTTAAAAATTCCAGTTCCTTCTCAAACCTCTCCACCTTTCTTTGGTTCTTTTTTATTTGAGTTTCAGATCCCTTTTTGTTGGCCAGCTGCCTGAGTCTTCTGACAAGCCGTTGAACTTCAAACAACTTTGCACGCTTGATCTCGCGTTTTAAGCCACCGATTTCTCGACCATTTGTAGCACGAGTTTTTTCTTTTTGTGAAAGCTAGTTTACGAGTGTTGTACATTAGGTATTCACCAGTAATCACCTATTATTGTATTTACATAGTACTTTGTAGGGTTGGTTCTCGCCAAGCCGTCCCTCTGTTATGTTGTATTTGATTGATTTGTTTCTAAGCATTTGAGTGGAGCCCCTGTAAACTAGCTGAATAAGCTAAGTGCACCTTCCACTATAAACAAGCCTTTAAACCTTTTAAACGTTTAAATAGGTAGTAGAATACCACGCACTATTATGCACTTATTCCATTGCCTTTCGTTTACCTCTTGCTATTTTGCACTATTTGTTAGTATTCATTTCACGCTTCAAGTAAAATCAACCTAACTAAATGTAGGTTAGTATGAAATGTCATGATATGACCCCTACGGCTCCGCGCGCAATTTTGTTGGAAAACATATGAAAAAAAAGTATCGTCTGAGGGCAGTACGCGTCAAGTGATTGGCCCGGAAAAACGAGTAGGGCCCTGCTAGAAAAGCGTACTGATCTATGCGGGTTCGCTTCGTCAAAAAAAATCAAAAACAAAACGGTCATATGATAAATGCTTATTTACTGAGATAGGTCGGGCCGGACAGGAAAATATGTGGCTCTCCCACTAGTAGTCAGTCAATAAGTTCATAGCCTTTCCATGTACCCCCAATTTTGGTAAACCATGGAGTGTACACAGTTAAATAAAACAGGGGGTAGAAAATGTTGAATGAACATATAAGAAATATTTGGTAAGGATATTTGGAAAGAACTGCATTTCCGACCTTTTAAAATAGGGATCCGACGACCTACCAAATCTCCCAATAACTACAGTTCAGAGGAAGTTAAGCGCTAAGCGCCCAAAATAATGCTCATTTTGATTCAATAATCAAATAGGCCCGAGAAGGAGTTAATACAGAGAGAATACACGAAGACCATGACAATACACACATAGATTAGAGAGGTTGTATATAACTTCTTTTATGCTTGCAATAAATTGAGAAAAATTACCTTGTGAGAGGTGCAATTATTGGATAGCCCATCTGTATTGCAAACGCCGATAGTTTTGTCCAGCAAATGAATCCCTGAAGTCAATTCTTGGAGGAGAATTCTCTTAGTCTTTCAACATCCAACATAAGATTTTTTCGATCCTGTTTGTCCAAAATTGTTGCAGGATAGCATGATGGTAAGCATCCAGCAGCAGCCTATGGGTTCATGACTATCCTTTGAATAAGAATAATGGTGTAAAACAAGTTCAGAGCCAACGCGTACTTCATTTAAATTAGAATATCCCAGAAACCAGTTCGCTGATGACGGAGGGCTTAAAAGGGGCTTTAAATGGTGATTGGCAAAACCTTCAAATGACTACTTCATTCGAGCAAAGCACTGAATAATTTCGAAGGATTCACTTTATACTTAGTGTAAAATGAGGAACAAAGTTTCTGAGAAACTGACCGCCCACCCCTCCCCTAAGCCAACAATTTTAAGTGAGAAGTGTTAATGCTAGCTTCAGGGAGGGGTAGGTGGGCAGTTTCCCAAGATACCTAGATTGATCCCTAAATGACATGACCCACCACGTTCATGAGTACGAACTTTGGCAGCCTTAAATTTAAAATCTGCAGTCAGCTACCACAATCCCAATCAGCAATTAAGAGTTATGCATTGTTGGCGTCATCCTGTTTTTACGCTGCTGTTAGAAATCAGTGGGTGCATTGTTAACCAGAGGCGTAGTAACATGTTGACGACAGGTTTACTGGAAACTTGGGTGCAACGGCCGCCCACGGCCGGCATTACGAAAAAAAGAGGGCCAAATTTCAGCACGCGTTGCATAATGCAACATACAGTGCTACGATCGACGCTTGACCGGAACGGCTGCTCTATTCTGATTGATTTTCGTAGAACAGCATTGAGACTTAAGTTTCACAATAAAGTGTTACACATTAAAACTCATGATTTTATCATTGCGGTGGCCGTAGAGTAGCAGCTGTGAGAAAGCAAGTCTACTTTTGATGAAACTGTCTCGAACCGAAAGTTCTTGGTCAAAAAGCGTACACCCAGCTTTCCTCCCTTAGCCTCCGTATTAGCATGAACTCTGTACACCGTTTGACTCAAACCAATTTGCTAAGGTGCAAAGCGACTAAGCAAGTGTGATTCGTCAGAAGTGGTTGTCTTGTGGGTCAAATCCGTTCTGAGGACAAACCAGTGGTTTATGGTCATATCGCCACAAAGAAGTCAGACTTCTTGGTGGCGATGTGGTGGCAAGTAGACTGTCTACTCGCCACCACATAACAACTCTGCTACAATTGACACTGTTTACTTACGTGGGATTGTTACTTCTCCCTCAAGCCCAAATATAAAGTTATCGATTTTAACTGACACCTTACGTCGAACTTCTGATCTTTAGTTATATTTCTTGTGAATAAATGCGACTTTTGAATTTCTTAATACACCTGTACGGCTTATTTTCATCGCTCGAAAGGTGTGATTTGTTTAAAATACAACAGCCTTTACTGTGAAACTTGGTTAATATTGTCACTTGAACCTTACGTCCTTAAATCTCATTGTAAATTTAAAGTGAAAGAATTCTTTTTAGAGACTTGTCCTTTCGATATGTATTAAGATATGTATTTCTTGGTGACAATTTCGTTGGTGGCGAGATGGTTTGGTGGCGAGGTGACCGGATATTCCTAGTTTACCACGGTTAGAACCCGAGCACTTTCAATACTAGTTTCAGTAACCTAGCCCTTAACTATGGAACTGCAGAGCCACACCCACCCGTTGTAGGTAAAATCTGTTCTCTGGGATCAAAATTTTCCTCGGCAAAGTCAGGTGATGAGTGACTAGAAAATGGCCATGGTTTGAAAAGAAAACAAACCTTCCACAATCCATGTTAAAGGAGACCATGATCCACCAAACCTTCCAAATCTGCAAATCCATAAAAATAGTCTTAAAAACTAAACTCAAAGTAGAAAGAAAGGAAAAGGAAATTGCAATCCCGCATCATCCTAGGAAAATTATAAAAATTACTTGCCTAAAACATCTTCAATTGGTGACAAAGTTGTTGAGACATTGTCCTCAAATGGGGTAACTACAGAGAGCAAAACAATCCACGCCGGCCTCTCCCCTCCATTCAAAGTTTAGGTGTTTTTTGTTTTCTACAGGTAGCTTGAACAATGACACAACATAGCATGGGACGAGTGGGGGAGGGAAAGCTTTATTTTCCCTTTTTTACTTTGGCAAAACATTAGTAAGGTCCATTAGGGCAAAGTGTCTCAATTGTCACCAACTGAAGTTTAATTATTTATACAATATTCATACCTTAAGCTTTCTTGAGATAGCAATGTTCACCATGTAGGAGAGATCTGCTGACTTTCTAGTTGTTACAGTCCCTCTTGATACCAAGCTTTCTAGGTTGTAGAATGATCAGTCATCTTTCACCTTAGCAAATGTTCTTGGCTTGGAGAGTCTTGTTTGTCAATCTCTTACAAGTGACAACCCTCCCCCTCCCACCACCACCTGACCATACAGTCGATTACAGTAATCCATTTATTCCTAATGGTTGCCGAGGTAAATTCATAAAGAAAATCCAAAGAAAATTGTACCATGCAAAAAAAATCAACCAAAGAGGTTTCACTTAACCCTTTGACTGTCAAATGTGGCCAAAGGCAAATTTTGACAAAATTAATTTCCAAATTTCATTTTCTAAAATTTTGACAAACAAATAGCATCATGTGAAAGTTAAGGCAGAGAGCTTTCTTTTGAATGGTCACATCACAGGAATTCGTCCACAAACTCAAAAGTTAGAGTTACCTCACAAAACTCTATCAAACACTCTGGCAGTGAAAGGGTTAAAAGGAAAATATCATAGGATTTTGTCCACAGATTGGAAAGTCAGAATGACCAATCACCACCCAATACCTCATTCTAGGAGGGAACTGGTCAAAGAAAAAGGATATGCTTGATACACCTGTTCATCACTAAAACAGATACACTGTAAAAGTAAATCACACTACTCCTGTGTTGATTCTTTTTCCACTTCATTCATTGAATTGACTAACAACATAAAATAAAATAATAAAAAAAAACACACAGTGTAGGAACCTCCCGCTGGCCAATTATCTTCCTTAGATTAGCAGCATTACACAACATGATTTTTTCAAAGACAGTTGAAGCTTTCTATGCAAGCAGTATACAGGAGAATTACCAACAAACCAGTGTTCTAAATTTGTTTGAACAATTGATTAAGTGAACCCTTAAACTGGAGTAATCACTTACAAAAATACACTGCAAAAAAGAAAATTTGGCAAACATGAGATTTCTCCATTACTAGCACATGTACCACTAATACTTCCCTAATTTTAAATCTGAATCATCAAATATGATTTTCTGTCCTTTGAACTCAACCTTAACTGTTTCCTGCAATCTTTTTCTTTTCACAGCTTCCCATGATGGGTGTAAACTCTCATCATCACTCTTTCGTTTGACAGAATGCTGACCTTTGACTTTACTTGTCTGTTTCCTATCTTCCTTATACTCCTTTGGTTTAATTATGTTATTTTTATACAAATGTTTTGCCCTCTTTCCATGGATCTTCTCCCACATCTGCTGTCTTGCACGCTGTCCTCTACGATTTCTTTTTCCTTTTCTATCACCCAACCTTCCTTTTCCATTCCTCTGCTTTTTTCTTCCCTTCAAGCCTTTATCTCCTTTAGCGCCAGACATGGTCCCCACAAAACATGACTCTAAGCCTTTGAACTTAAGCTCTGGAGATGGAAAACTGTCACTGCCTTCCTCATCTTCTTCAAAGTCACTTGCATCAAGGTCCGAGTTTGAAATAAAGCCATCACTGTCATTATCAACATCTTCTCTTGCTAGTGGCTCAGTTGCAAAGCCCTTGTCTACAAAAAACTTCTGTTCAGCAAACTTTTGTTTTGTTTTTACTCTTGATGTTTCTCCATCACTGCTGAATTTATCCTCATCATTTACATGATGTGACAGTTTGTCATCAGATACCTCGTCTTTCCCTTTTTCGTTTTCTGGCTTTCGTTTCCTTTTTAGTATCAGTTTTCCTTCGACAAAATTTCTATTGTCATCAACTTCAGCTTCCTCATCTAGCAATGCCTTCATATCAGGTAAACCAAAAATGTTTGTTGTATCTTTAGACTTGTCTTTCACAATGTTTTGTTGCCTTTCTGCCCTTTTGTTGTCTTTCTTTTCATCAGAACGACCAAAATCTTTCCTGCTAGCATCTACCCTTTTCATAAATTCTTTAATTTTCGTAGAATTAACAACCCTATCTAAAGCCTTTTCCTGAAGAACATAATCCGCACTAGGGTCTTCCTTGTTGTCTTTGATGGCTTGATTATTATTAAGACCGTCTTCCCCATTTTTACTGGCAATTCTGCGAGCGATTTCATCGACACCCACGTCTTTTAAAAACTCCAATTCTTTCTCAAACCTCTCTACCTTTCTTTGGTTCTTTTTTATTTGAGTTTCAGATCCCTTTTTGTTGGCCAGCTGCCTGAGTCTTCTGACAAGCCGTTGAACTTCAAACAACTTTGCACGCTTGATCTCGCGTTTTAAGCCACCGATTTCTTTCATGATCACTTCTTCTGGCATACTTTACAGTTCTATAGCATCAAAAGACTTCAAAAACAGACAAGTAGAGCGAAGTGTTAGTAAGAAACCAGAGTTATTTTAGGGCAAACGCTGCATCCCTTCCCGCCATCTTCTCCGCCATCTTGCTTGTCAACTTGTACCCAGACTTCTTCGGAAAACTGAATAAGCCATATACCGGCATTCTTAGGGAGTTGTGTTGCTTGTAAAATGGCGGACGGTCTCACAAATTTTAATCTCTTTGCTCTTTCGTTGTTCCTACTTGTTTGTATGGATATGGTGAGATCTCTAGTTATCCATCAGTTATTTATTCGTAGCATTCTTTGAACTTTGTTGGAAATTTGTATTTACCCTTCTCGTTCACGTGGAAATTAATTACTAACTGTGTACAATTAAAAGGTTTGCAGTATTGAACCTCGTGGGGAGGAGTTAGTTTTCACTGTGGAGCACTGCCTAAGTGAAGGTAAGTCTCTCTTTTTTAGTGAATTTATTATAGACTTTCATAACTTCTGCACCACAAACATAGAAAAAAATGTACAGGTAATGCATGGTTCAATTTGACCTGTTAATTTTTTTCTTTCTTTAGAAGAAGATGCAGTTTTTAAACCAAGGTAATAGTGTTGCTATTTTATCATGTTACTAAACTGTTTAGAAAGTGTTCCTGTGTGAGTTTGTTGAGGAAAGAGGAAATAAAGTGAGTAAAGGGAAGAAGGGGGAAGGGTGAAAAAAAAATACTTGCCCACAAACCCAACTATTAATGTCCCTTAATATTTCACTGTTCAGTTCATAATAACAGGTCAACTGTTTGATTCCAGATTATTAATTATTTTTTTGTTAGGTACACTGATTCTCAGTCAGTGGAAATTGAGAATCGTCAAGGTTACCGGTAAATCAAAATTTACCAGAAATCAAATTTGACAGGGATATTTAATGTGTCAGAGCATGCCACTCGACTAAGGAAAAAAAGAGTTGATTCTTGCATTAAAGGTTTAATAATATTATTTATAAATGGCTAGTTAGTAATATACAACACATAAATTTCCTATTACAATAGCTGCAACATTTTGCTAAGGCTGAAACATATTTTTTTTGCATAGGGGAACCATTTATGTTAAGACAGTCAAGAGTTCTACTGGAACAATATCACAGACAGAACCACTATCATTGGATGAAGTTGAGAATCTGAAGGTAATGCATGCAATAATTTTTCAATAAAGGCTGCTTTGGACATTGGTAATAATTACCAATGCCAAGCAACCTTTATTGAATCATTGTGCACTGGGAATCTATTGTTTGGTGGTCACTCAAGCAAATCATCATGTTGTTCTGTTTACCCAAAGCCCAAGTGCCAATGACCAATTGCCAAAGCAACCTTTATTGAATTAGGTATACAATGTATCTTCATAAGGTGCTTTAATAGGGCTTATATCCAAGGGGGCTTATAGCCAGGGTAGAAAAAAGCACTTCTTAACAAGCTATGGTAGTCCTGATTAAAATATCTTTAATTGCATTAATATTATTTTTTACTAGTTTTTAGTCAAGCTTCAAAACTTCAAAATAAATCAAATTCATTTCAATACATTTGGAGGAGGCTTATATCTGACGAGGGGGGGTTGGGGCTTATACCACGGTAATCAGATGAGATGTAATTTCTTTTACAGGTTGATGGGCCTATAACTGGTCATGGGCGAGGGGGAGTCGGAGGGCTTATAAGTTGGGGAGCTTAAAAGCAGCAGTACAGTTTACATTTTGTGGCACAATAGTACATATTGTATCACTAGTCGCCTTTGTGGAGCAAATAAAATTAATAAAATCACCAGCTAACTTATTGTAATGTATTTAAGAGATGCATTCCATGTTAAATCCATCCTTTGAATTTCGTTATCCCTTAGGACCTGGCATTAAAAGATGGGTACTACAGAATACAGTTGCGCCCAAAGTCCATGGATGGTGGTGTAGGCATTGATAGCAGTGTTTCTACATTTGTGAAAGCTGTAAGTTTAGCTGCATTTTGAATATACCATTTAATACCATCTTTTTATCATTGAAGTATGCAGACTCTTCGGTAACTTGATTTTTATCTTGGTTGGTTGTCTGCTTTATTCAGAATCTGACATTTCCTTGAACCCTTATAATGCACAAGTGCAAAGAAATTCTTAATGTATGTGTTGTGGTTCAATTTTGCCCTTGGTTTAATTTTTATTTTTCTTTGTTTTAAACTGATTATCATACATTACCATACCCAAAAACAAAGGAAAATAAAAATTAAACCAAGGATCAAATTGAACCACAACACATGTATTATATACATGTACAAATATGTGGTTGTTAACCATTTCATTCATGTTCACATGACTTTGAACATTCTTAGTTAAAAAACTCACATGTTAATCGAAACAAGTTTTTTAAATGGTGAACTTAGGGACGGCAGAGGAAAGAGGACTAATAATAATAATAATAATAATAATAATAATAATAATAATAATAATAATAATAATAATAATAATAATAATAATAATAATAATAATAAATTTTTCCAAACATAATTATTGTTTGGAAAAATTTCCCACCAAACTTAACCTTTCTTTTAATAGATCTTTTTGTAGTGGGCCAGAACACAATGTTGTCAATACATTACTAAGTAAAAAGCAGTAGCATCAGCAATAATATTATTTTTAATAATAAAATTGAAATTAATTTTGTAATTACAGTCATGTCACAAATAAAAGGAGACTCAGAAAAAAATTGAACTTATGAATGTCTTGACTTCTAAGAATTTTAAAAATGTTCTTCATATGACTTTTATCACATATCATCTATGCTATGTACAGCTGACATGGAAAGCAAATTGTTTATGTTTAATTCTTTTACTCCTTTACCAGTGTTCCCTGTTTACATCAAAACTTACAGAGACAATAACTTTAACACTCGATAACACAGGTATGCAGTATGTTTCCAGTTGAATCTGTTACAGCTGTCTATTATAAACAAGGAAAAAAATGTAGTTGCTTGAAATTCTTCCAGCAGAATTATTTATTCAGGCCTACCGTGAGAGCTTAATTAGAATGTTTGATTTTATTAAGGCCACTTATATGGTGTCGGGCTGATTGTTCCTGATGGGGGCTGCCAAGCAAAGAGTCTTAACTGGGTAAGTGATTGTTATTAATTGTTGTGTACATTCAATGTAACTATCAGTATGCATTTTCTCCATGATGTTCTTTATACATTTCCTATGTTACTGAGGAGGAGAATTTGCGTAACAATAAAGACGTTTTTAGTTGGTGATCAATTCCTTTATTCTCATGACCTTTATGTTTCATTCAGCCATGTTGCCGTAAGGAGAAATAAGATGCTGGTTTCTCCTGGGAATTTTAATGGTCAAGAAGGCTGATAAGTATAAGCAAACGTAGCACTATTTTCCAGAACAAAAGCTGTTGTGTAAGCATAAAAAAAAGACCAGTTGAATGAACATTTTTTAAGAATTTTAAAAAACAACTTGTATTTCATGGATTATCAGACTCATCACCTATAGCTATAAGTACAAAGGAGGTAGCTATGGAGTCCCTGTAAAATGTAAGGGGACTAGTGGATCCAAGAAAAAACTGTCATGAACTCTTATACATTGTACACTATTACCCTGAGAAACCCAGTGGAAAGGGTAGAAGTATGCAAATTCCTTCTTATTCATAGTGTCAGCATTTACTTTTGACAAAAACAGTGGCACTACAGTAGTCATGCACTAAACTATGTCCAGTTCAATAACAGTATCAAATAATAATGCTTTGGTTGTCTGTTTTTCAATTCTCAAGGATGCTGTAAGCTTACCTTCTCAATTTAATTCATCAGTGGTAGTAATGCTTCAAGGAACAGGACAGCTGTGAGTTTATTTTAACAATTACATGTATTATTAATAACAACTGGTTTTGTTTCATCTGTACTCAGGTGGCAGTAGTTGAGAGTCTTTTACCTTTTTTTACTGAACTCATTGAAGTATACACACTCCTTTGCTTGCTAGTTCACCTCAATTCTTTCTTTCCTTCACTCCACCCATGTGCAGGTACACTGCTCTCCATTACCAACCATTCAGTCAATCCACTTCACACTGACCCCAAAGGAAGTACTGTCTCTTAATATAGCCATTTAAATTAAATTAAGTCACTCCTGTCAGCCTACAGTGAGCCTCTTGAAGTCTGTGCTGGGCATAAAAATTTGAATAATAATAATGTTATTCATCAAAAGCTAAGGATCAAAATGGATTTCTCCCAAAGCCTCCGAAAGCTTAGGGTGAAAGGGCAAGAAAAAAAGGAAACAAAATCACTTAATAGCCGTATCTCAAATCCAGAATAATTTTATGTAGAAAATTAGTGTCTTGGGTGACAACTATGCTATTAGGCCTTGAAAATCTCCAGTTGACAACAAAATTGTTAAAAGACTGTCATCAAAATAATGGGATATTTCTTGAAAAACAAAACCATCTACTCCCCTCATCAATCCCACCCCTTGCTTGCAACAGGAAACAATCAACACTGTAACCAGTGGCACAATAATAATATTGCTTAGAGGGGGTGGGGAATGAAAAGTTTCACATTACCTTTTCATGTAGATAGCATTGGATTGTCTCAACTACTATAAATCTTTTTGCATATATTATTGTAGCTACCTACATTCCACTGCATGCTAAGTGATCCACACACAAAACGAATAACAAATTTGAATACCTGGCTACACTTAATTGGCCCTTTGGGTCTCTTTTCATGAGGAGTTTATTTCATTGCTGGGTACTTAGTCTGTATCTGGTGCATGTTGCAGTCCTGATACTCAGACTTACATTCAAAGACTGGAGAAGGAGAAACGAGAGAAGCAAGCTGGGAAGACACAAGACAATAGATCATTTTTAGCTAAATACGTGAGTTGAGTTATGATTTTTTCTTTTCACGTGCATGTTTATGTTGTTGTTAAAGTTTAATATCCTCATTTAAAATTTCATTTTACTTTGTTACGACAGCAACGGCTAGGAAAAGGTCACTTAAAAAGTGAATTTGCGCTGCTTCAAACTTTATCACAGTGACTCTTATTTCATCTCATTCAATTCATCGAATGTTGGCAAATTTTTCTGGAGTTAAAATTCTAAGAGATTGTATTGAAGTTCAGGAAAAAAAAAAGCAAGTCGTTGCAAGTGTTCATGTCCTTCACAAAACGTGAAATTAGGCACTTTCACATTGTAGTCATGCATTGATGGCAAAGAAATATACAAAAAAGTGTGATGCACATGCAGAGTTGTTGTTTTGCCAATCTAAGCCTATTGCTTTTTTGCTGTCCTCATTGATGTCGCTGCCATCATTGCTTAAGCTCCCAAAAAACAATGAACTTCACCCCAGCCAGTGAAATGTATGAGACAGTGTTAATTAATAAACTTCAATCTTACTTTGTGGCACTTATTGTAACTTTTTTGACTTGCTACATTGTATTCTAAAACGTTGGCATGTTGCAACTTTTTAAACTCTTTCTTACCTTAGGGTACCTATGTATTATCAAATGAAATGAGTGACAAAAACCAACAATAATTACTTTCCTTGATCTCAAGGTGGTTTGATTTTATTTTTCTTGCAGTGGATGTACATTGTTCCTGTTGTAATATTTATGATGCTTACCTCTCAGCAGCCAGAGCAACAGGAGGGGTCTAGTCAATGAAGTCTTCATTCTCCTCCCAGTAGTGCAAAGAAAGAAGTCCCCCTCAAACTCCGATACTGTAGCTCAAGGTGTAAATATGGAGGGATCATTTACCAGCTAACATCTGTCAAAGTTTCCCGTGATTCTATTTGAGATTATCATGTATGCTAAGCTACATGTACCAGTTTCAGACTTGGATATTGCTAGCAAACCCTGAATACTGGTATATACAACTGTGCAGTTTTGTGGCTATCGTGGCCAAGTTATGTGCCAAGGCCAGTTTGCAAAGGGAGGGGCATAACAACAAAAAAACAGCTCTCTAGCCTCCTGTCACAGTCTACCCTAAGGTTTTGCTATAATGTGACCATTCACATGAAAATGTTCCCTATGGTTTGCGGTTTTGAAACGTTTAGCTGTTCGCATGCCGTTCATTAGCCATTGGAACAGCTTGGTTCTCTGTTTCTATCGCTTGCTGTGCATTCAGCTGTTCGATTGGATAATTATCCTAAGGAATGTTTTAGTGTAAGTGGTCACATAATTATGTACGTACATCTCGGTATTAATGTAAATTAATATGCGAAAATATTAATGAGGCTTAAGAAGAAAATTTTGACATCATTTTGACCCATGTGAAGCAGTCCAGTAGTATTGGAATGGAAAGGAACAAGTGTCATGGAAGTTAAGAAGCAACAACACTATTCTTGCAAACAGGTTCTATTGTCAGTCTCAGATTAATCATCTTGAATTAAAATTTAACGTGCAATGTTCATGTAACTGCATTTGTGGTCCACTTTTGCAACTCTGTCGTTTGCATACTACAAAGCTGAAGAAAAATGTAATTGGTGCAGCCTGTGTTAAGCATGGAAATTCTTGCATAAGCAGCACTTGCCTAACAGCTCATGAAATTACGTATAACAATTTCAAAATATCACTTGTGGTATTTATGCCAAATATCACGACTAATCATGCTATTACCTATACAAATAGTAAAGGGAAAATTAAAAGTAAAATTTTCGTAATTGTATGAAGACCATGGAAAAATACTTTAGTATGAAGCAACAAATCAAAAGAAAATACTTTGACCAACTGCACAATTGTTATATGGAGTGTACCAACTCCCTGAAGACCTTTAAATAATAATAACAATATTAAAAGTGTCTTTATTTATATTTAACAATTTATTATTATATTGGATTAGGATTGCACTCTCTCGCAAAACTCAAAAATTGCAAAATTTTATTGCAAATTTAGCAAAAAAAAAAGTTAAGGCAAACTGCTTGCAGAAACTTATAGACGAAATTAATAGCAAATATAGCAAGAAAAACAATTTAACAACACTTAAGGATTACAAGCTGTAGCAAAAATTTGCTAGCAAATCTGGGTAGCAGTTTTCGCAAAAAAGTAGGAAACTGCATTTGAATATTGCCACGAACTCTTTTGCCATGTTTTTGAGTTCTCTCTGCAGTCATGACTTAACAGCTAGGCTGTCACTTGACATGTACAGGGACTGTAGTAATATTGAATGCCCACATCTTAACAAATTAAGTCAAAGCAAGCTGATTATGAGGAATCAGGCAAAAAATCAAAGTCAATCAAAAACGGTGAAATATTTTGAGTGAATAGTAATAAAATTATTATTGTTAATATAAACAGTTTTATTTTAGGTTGACTAACACTCCAGTCTGTCAATCATTCAATTAAATAAATTAATAGAAAGAAACATTAAGAAAAAAAGTAAGAAAAAAAAAGAATAAATAAAGTAATCTCAATTCTCCCTCAGGTACCACTAAATTCTTCATAAGTTAAAGTGAATAACCACAAAAAAACGCATTTTTGTCATAAAATTTATTTATATACAGCCAGCCCTTCATGACTGTGTAATCACACAAAAAGCTTTCCATTCAAATCCCTTTACAATGTAGCTGGCACCTCTTGTAAGCAAACTACTGGTACATCTGGAACACAAACACGACCATCTTTAGGAGTTATAGTTTTTTAATTTCCCACTGCTGCTTTTTACCTGCTGTAAACGACTACTTAAATAAATTATTTATTCTGATCTCCATGTTCACTGACTTGTATGTACAATATGCAAAACAGGTGTAAAAGGTACTTTAAGTGACAATAATTACTCACTGTTTAGACTTTGTATGCAGTACATTAATACTGGGGGGGAGGGGCTACCTTAGGAATTTCTGGGTGGGGATGTGCCGCTGGGACCCTGGAACCCTTAACCTATACCAGAGCTAGCTCAGCTGAATTTTGCTACCCTATACTAGAGTAAACTCCCAAATCCCCCTATCCTAGAGTAGCTGTTTCTCTAGTCTAGATAAAATCTTCAACCAACTGATCAGTTACCTGAAAAATGATACCCTATTCTAGAGCCAAACGCTCTGATTTATATACCCTATTCTAGAGTAACCTGGTTGAAAACCATACCCCCCCCCGATTAATACTCTGAGTTCAATAGCTGTTGACCTTTTCTTGCAAGAGATCCACTGTGGTTCACTTTTGAAAGTAACAACTAAATTTTTGGTGGTTGCTTATACGAGGTTTGACTGTACAACATAATGATTCCCACAAATAGTAATTTAGTTTACATTAAGGACTAAAACAGCATTGCGGGCTGCCCTATTTTACATTAAAATAGTGTAATGTTAAACATTGTTAAACCCATGGCCCAACTTTCTGGAAATGCTATTTTGTTTTCACTAGCTCTATATTCTTTTGAACAAATTGGCTTTTTCTCTTCTTCCAAGGAAATTATGTAAAAATTAATGATCTTCAGCAGGGGCGGATCCAGGATTTTTTTTAGGAGGGGGTGCACTTGTCTCTTGCTCTACTTCAACACCAATAAACCACTTGGTTTTTTTTTTGCAGAATACCAGTTGTATTAGAAAACCACAGGTCATCTCGGGGGGCGGGGGGGGATGTGCACCCCCTGCACCCTCCCCCTAGATCGGCCCCTGTTCAGTGGCACATGCATTAAAAGTTGGTTCAATTCTTCTGGAAACAAGCACCTTAAACTGATAGAGCACATGTATGACATGCTAATGAAAAACAACAAAGAATCTGCAAACCTTTCATCTGAAAGCTTATACACCAATCTTAGCTGACACCATTTTTGCTTATTACCAAACAAGTTAACCTTAAGAAGGAATTGCTGTATATGCAGAAACAAATAGTGTCAAAAGTTGAAAAAAGCTTGTTAACTTGGCCAATTTGGGCAATTTTTCAGCTCTTCGCAAGCTGCATCACAAAGAAATAGCAGCCATCAAAAACCACAAAAATAAAAAATTAACTAATGTGCCGTACATTATTAAAAAAAATTTGAGTTTTTGAACAAGACTTTATCAGAAACTATTTGGTTTTGTAGGCTCAAATTTTCAAAGATTAAGCAAAAACCAAATTCACTTATAAAAAAAATATAAAAATAATAAAATAAAATATATATTGGTTTGCCTTTTAGTATGGTCCAAAGAATTGTGGAGATCTTAGATGGTGATATCTCTGTCAGTGCCTCATTATTTTACCCCTTTATCTGCATGACTCAACCTCAGCAAATAATAGCCAATTTTATTTGCTGCTGTAGATAATGCTTTCCTTTATCGATTAACACTGTTTTTAGTTAGCTTATAGTTTATTTGAAGGCAACTGATCAGTTTATTAACTGTCAAATGTTACCGTTGTGAAATAAAGTCATTTATGCATTCATTCATTCATTCATTCAACAAAATAACCATAAATTTTGGGGACAAATAAGTTAATGATAATTTTTTCCCCAGATTATGTGTTAACTTGTCGATCATAATGATCAATTCTGATTATTACAATAATATCAAGATTATTTTAAAATAATTTGTTTTGAAAACTGTTATTAGTTGTCATAGCAAAGAGCTAAGAATTCATCCTTTCGCCTGAAGTACTCATTGAAACGTGTTATTCCATACCTAAAAGAACCAAGGATTAGTTGCCAATGAGAACTGTAGTAAAATAATATAAAATTACTATTTGATTGTTACCATTAACTATAAAGTGAAAAATTTAATAATGTACAAAGAAATTGTGGGGGGGGGGGGGGGGTGAGAAAAGGAAGAAAGGAAAAGAAATCTCATTTCCTTTTTTTCCTTGTTTTTCCTTTGTTTTTTTTCCACCCCACTCTTTCTCCTCCCCACGTTGTGTTGAGCCTGCGGGGGGGGGCGGGTTTTGTAACGTAGTGAACTTTGAGGGGGGGGGGGGGGGGGGGGGGGTTAGAGAAGGCAAGTAGAGGAAGGAACTCTCCTTTCCTTCTCTACCTTTTTTTCCTTCTTCTTTTCTACCAAGCAACCTTGTGCTCTAGCAACGGTTAGTGAACCCTCGGGGGTGGGGACTGTGTAGAAAAATGAGGATCTAGAAAGGGATGACCTACAAAACAATGATTAAAAAAACGACATCCTTGAAAACAAAGTTGAATGGAAGAAGTAACATCAAATGGCATTTAAAGTGAAAATAATAACGGTATCTGCTACTTGTCATCCAGTACTTCTCTCTATACGCCCTTTAAATGTACTTAGCTATTGGTAGAATTGTTAGCACCCTCTGACAAGGAACTCAATACTGAAGTACGCTGTTCCATGGAAAGAGATTTGGGTCAGCGACTGAATGTATGTAGGTGGCTAATTCTCTTATGCTTTTCATATAAAGAAAGCATAATGGAGCTCAACCCCAGGTGGGGTATAGTACTCCAGATTTCAAGTGACAGGGATGATTGAAGGATTTTTTGGGTTTGAAATTTTCGATTCCAAAATTTTTTGGGGGGGAGGAGGGGGTGGGGGTAGGAAAATTTGGCAAGTATTTTTTTGGGTGGCTTGAATTAAGAAGGGATTTTTGGGGAGTATTCAAGATTCAAAATTTGCCAACACAAGTAATCGCAATTAGGTTTGTTAATTCTCTCAAAACGAGATGAAAATTTTAGTCCTGCAAAATGCAAAATTGGAGTTTCAACAAGTATTAGATCATATTTGCTTTCTGTTAGGACATCT